TATGAATTCCTCAAAGCAACCTATAAAGCAAAATTAAAATTCGGATCTCAAATGTTTCTAAAAATATCCGAAGCGCTTAGAAAAAAACCCACCAAGCTGTTTTTGGACAATAAGCTAATATTTTTTGGTGTCTGAAAAATGAGCCACTTCAAAAACCTTCTGAATGTAACCCGTTACCTAGCAACCCCAGCAGAGTTCCACCCGTTGCCTAGCAACCCAAGGGGAGCGCCAGCATGTTTGGTCAGCTGGTTTTACTGCTGTACAATGGCTGCTGGAAAAGACAAGCGTTTTGCTGTTGACTTTCCACCTGGAAACCAATTCCTGTTGGCTGCACATTACACTCCACTTCTGCTTTTCAATGTTGTATGGTTGCATAATTGCACATCTGTTTGCAGATACTTTCAGTTGTGAGTGTAAACATTGAGTTGCGGGGTGTGGCCAGCAGCAAATTATTTATATTAAAAGTGGCAAGAGGCCCTAAAACAGCTTAATCTCAATGTTACATCTGCGTATTGAATCGATGTATGAATGTGTGAGAGTCACTGGGTGAGTGAGCCTCCAGTTTAAGGTCTTTGAGTGGTCTGGAATATATATATATATATGAGTGTATATACATACTATAAACTAATTATGCTAAACCAGAAGCAACTATGGTTAGCAGCTTGCTGTTTGCTTCTGATGTGAAAACTGTTGTTGGAGTTCTGATATTTGCAGCTGAAATAAACAAAGAGAAGAGAGCAAAACTAAAACTGAGTCGACTGTGAAGCTGGAGAGAGAGAAAGAGAGCGATCCAGGAGGACGTCAGTGATCAGGGCCACAGCATCTCTTATTTACACACACACACACGCGCACACACACACACAGAGCAAAAACATCTCTTATTTACCAGCTTACGTCTGCACTATTTATGGGACGCTGGGGAGAGGCACAGAAGAGAGGAAGAGAGGAGAGGGGCTAAAATATGCATAGGGGCTGGATCTTCTGGGACGGCGGGGGGGAGTCAGACAGGAAGAGGGAGGAAGTGAAAACTGTGGCAGGAGCCGTGATGGAGAGGAGTGTGTGTGTAAGTGGGGCTGAAGGAGCGAAACCAGGAGGGAGGAAGGGATACGTCCCGCCTGCTGACACCCCCGGGTGGCGCCGCCGCGTTTCTGAGCTGGACATCATACGGCCCAAAAGAGGCCAGAGCCTTTCCTGGCCGGCCAAGCCACCGCCTTCCATCCATCCCTACCTCATTAAGGCACACACACACAAATTAGCCCATTCCACTCTCTGGCAGATGTGCACACACACGCAGTAACACCCGCGTTAACCTCCACAGCCGAGGCTCTCCATCTCCCCCGGTCGGCCTCTCAGTCTAGCCCACTTAGAGCGCCCTCCCATGGGGCGGTGGAGCGCGGCAGGTCAGGCTCCAGCTGAAGGTTTTCACACACACACACACCGATGCACACACACGTTTGGGCCAAGACTGGAGAGTAACGATGGATGCTGGGAAATCGCTGCAGTCAGACTGAAGCGGCTGAAAACGACGCATTAAAAACAAGAAAAAAATGTTTTCTGTTGATCTTAATGTTCGCTGCCCTCTGTGCCTCTATACTGTAGACATGGATGTGAAAATGGTTGTAAACAGATGCACAATTATACATCCATACATCTTTGAAAAGCAGAAGTGGAGCCTCCTGCACAACCAATAACAATAACAAAAAGGATACCATCTGCAGCTGGAATATGACCTTTTCAAACTTACTTGAAGATTTAATAACAGTCGACTTCAACACAGATGTCAAACTTTATTAATCTAAAAGTTTACAAAACAGTCAAATAAAGTAGCGTTTTAGAATTTGCCAGGAAAAATAAATTTCAGGGAAGCAAAGTGCGCAAAATTTATTGACTTAGCTAACGCACCTAATAGCGGATTAGCAGAGACAAATGTGAGTCGTCAGGACTTTGTTTTTTGCATTTTTGATCCTTTTCCTGCAGCTTTTGAGTATGATGATTATTCACTCAAAGAGGCATCGATTACCATACCTGCAGACAGACAGACGGCTGAAAATGATACCATCCAAAGCTGGATTATGATCTTTCCAAACTTTTGGACGCGTTTCTTCCCGTTTAAAGATGATCTTCAGGACGTTCTGAGGATCTCTCGTCAGTTCAACAAAAATGATTCATGGTTTTCCTCAGGGCTGGGTCAGACGGCAGGAGAGAGCCGTGATGGAGGTTATCCGGAGTGTGTGTGTGTGGACATTAACCGACAGGGTCCGGCGGTCGCCCTGCTGCTAAATGGCCTGGCCGGCCATATGCCCACCACCTCTGGCACTACATCACCTCCGCTTTATGTGCCTGACTGAGTGGCTTTCTCTTCGGGGGGACGGGAGGCCTAGCTGGCCACCACATCATCACTACAGCTGTTATACATTATTAGCTTTCAATAATTATTCTCTTTTTCCCCACTTTCTTCACCCAGAACGCTTTGGGAACGTAAACTTCAAACAAAATCAGATCTGTGTTTTTCAGACTATTCTAAAAATCTGGTATGGATCGCATAACTGGAAAAAATGGGATTTGAAGCTTTTTGCATGCAGTGCTTTCCCACCTGGTAGTCCGGTGTTAAATTTAATTACTTCTGATAATTGTTTCCCTGTTTGGTAATTGTTTGTTTTGAATTTTTTAATACATGTAAAATTTTAGTATTTAAGTCATTTTAACTTTGTTTGTATAGTTTTGTAATTCCCATCACACAAATGGGAATTACAAAAAATAAATGTGCTTCATGGAAACACTCACATTTTTGTTAAAAAGTTTTTCAGCAGTCAAAACAGAAATATTTCACAAAACTGCAGTGGAAACACTCTTTCCACTTCACACGAGTCACAACAACAAATTATCAACTTTTCATTGATCGGTAAATAATGACACTTTCAATGCAAACTTGTACTAAAAGTTGCACTAACAATGTTCTTCAAGTTTTATTACCTGAAGAACATTTCCAGGATTAGAGGACTAATGCAATAAGCATTAGAGAAACTCATTCATGCTTTAGTCGCATTGATTACTGCAACCAATGCAACTGATTGACTAAAAACCCCATCAGATCCAGAACGCTGCTGCTGGCGTTCTGACTAAAACCAGGAAGATGGAGCACATCACAGCATCTAGAGTCCAACAAACTTTAAAACACTGCTGGTGGTTTATAAATCACACAACAGCTTTTCTGCATCCAGAACCAGAACCAAACACAGAGAAGCAGCATTCAGCTTCTATGCACCACAAATCTGGAACAAACTTCTGGAAAACTGGAAAACAGCTGAAACACTGAGCTATAATAAATGAAACACTGACCAACATTTTGATATGTAATGATGGCATTTCACAAAATGTAATGTGAAATTGTTGATTTTTGTGCTTTTATGATGTAAAGCTGTTTGAAAAGCTTTCTTCCTGAAATGTGCTACACAAATAAACTTGACTGACTGTTTTGCTTTTTAGCATCGGACAACCAATGAAAAACAACCTTCTGGTTAATTATTAATATTATATTATTTTATCTTCTCTGCGCTGCTGAAGTTTGAAATCTTCTTGATAAGTGCTTAAATCTTATAGTGAGAAAAGTTTACGACGCTGCAGTAAATCTGCAGAATGAAGCGACTCTCTGACCTTCACCTCTCAGGTTCCTGAAGACCAAAGGATCTGCAGAGGAAGGTTTACATCACCACCGAGCCGACTGCAGCTGGCTAAGGACCTACTCTAGTGTGACTTATATCCACTTATGAGTCTAAATCATAACGATCCAAAGCCTGCCAGAACCCTACCAGGACCTCATGAGGAGAGACGGAGAGAGGGGTGGAAAACGGGCAGAAAAGGCAGAGTGATTGCAGAAGTGGCCTGGAGTTTGAGCTGGATCAGATTCCTCAGCCATGGAGTGTCCTTGGTCACACTACCTGGGTTTCCATTATGAATGTGAGCAAATCTTTGTCTAAACTCTGCTAATGTAAAAAAAAAAAAGAAGCAAATTGCAGTGTTTCCATTAAATAAGAAATTAAATTAAAATCACATGTGAATAAGCTTGTTCACGCAATAAGTCATTAAAAAACCTGGCAGCGACGGATGTAAACTGCTATGAAATAGTAAATCTTTACTTAAAGGGTTGTGAAGAAGACTGACTGTCAAACATGAAGAAGTTTTCATGAATGTTTGATTGCTGTCATTCAGTAAACAACACTTTTAATGCAAAGTTTTAAGGGAACTTTGCACTAAAAGTGTCATCATTTTCCAAAAATGCAAAGTTCACAAGTTAAATGGACTTTTAGCGCAACTTTGGTTTAAAAGTTGCACTAAATAACTCTGCATTAATTACAGAATAATGCAGCGTTTACAATTTCGATGAACCTTTAATGCAACTTTCAGTCCAACTGTGATGCCGTGAGCTCTGGGAAAACAAACCATCATCCTCCCAGCACTTCCTGTCGTCGTCTTTATCGCTTTCACTAACAGCAACATCCGCTTGTTGATCACATGATGGGAAAAAGTGTTTCCATTGCAGTTTTGTGAAATACATCTATTTTGACACTACTGAAAAACTTTTTTAAAAAAAATGAGCGTTTTCATAAAGTAAATTTATTTTTCATAGTTCCAAGGCAGCAAGTGAAGGGAAACAATTCTGGAAAGAAAAGTGGGTCGAAACCACTCATTGCTACTAAACCTGGTTTTAAACGTTGCTGGATCAGAACATTTTTATTTGTTCTGCTTGGTCAGCCTTCGAAAAACTTTAATTTTTTCAGGGAAATACAAGTTATTCAGATTAAATAAACATATAACATTGAAATATTTAGTATTTGTCAGCAGAAACACATAAAAAAGCACAAAAAACCCACCACTTTCTAGTGCTTTAAAAATTGGCGTGTTTCCATTATTCCAGTTTACAGAGTTTAATGGAAAAGCAGCTGCAGCCCACATTCCCCTGACCGACCTGCAGACGGAGGCGGCCGGGTGACAGATCCTACCTGTAGCTCTGTCTGGAAGAAGAACTTCTGCGGACACTGGGAGCAGTCGTAGATCTTGTCCTCCTGACCGTGAACGGCAAAAATGTGCTGCTGCAGCTTGTTGGCCTGCACAAACACTGCAAGGAGGAGAAACAGAGCAAAGCGCTGATGTGATACGGCAAGCCGTTTTAACAAAAAAATCATTCCAGATATCTGTCATTGGTTTATACATATTAGTTAATTGTTACTAGTTACATTTACTCAGTCACATTTTGGAAAAAAATACTTTTGTAAGTTTTTTTTTACTATGCTGTACTTTTTACTTTCATTTGAGCATTTTTACTATGAAAAAATCTGCCAGTTTTCACATATTATAAGCAAAATGTCTTGTTCCACTACTATCTTTTAATTAATATTAAGGAATTACTGACTTAAAACAAGCTCCTATATCTTGCTGAAAAGTTACTTATAAGTTAGTTTTATAGGCCAAGATATTTGCACTTTGAACTAGGCCAAAAATACTCTAAGATTTTGTGTTTTTGCAATGCTTGAAAGTATGTTATTGAAGATATCTTAAACAGGATGTAAATGTAGGTACCTTAAATATCATTCAGGACAGTTAAAACTCATTTTTAGATAGTCAGAGGAAAAAGATTTTATGTTAAAATGGCTTGCCATAAAGGGGTTAAATCTGTGATAGTAAAATTTAAAATAGGAATTATAATTAACAGAGAGGGCAACTGATGAGGAAGAAGCATTTTCTCATCTGAATAAAGAGAACGCAGGAAGAACCACCGTCAGCAGAACGTGATATTTACCAATTAATCATCCGGTTATTTGGTTTTTGTTTGTGTTTTAATTCCAGCTCCAGTGTTGTTTTATACCCTTCCCCCCCCATCCGTCTTTTGTTTCAGTAAACTTTTGGTTTTCACTCCGAGACTGCTGAATTATTAAGCCTCCCCACAGGAGCCGAGCCCATTTTACTAATTCATGAGCCACCAAGGAATACAGTTAAAGTTTAAAGTGTTGCTGTGCCTGGGGAGGGGGGCTGCTCACATTGGAGGGCGGGGGGACACAACACAAGACAAACTCAACAACCGGGAGGCGGGGGGGTTAATGCAGGGAGGAAAAGTGCTGAATGTGAACACCTAATTTGGTCATTTATTTAGTCTCTCCGGTGGATTAAAAACATTCACGTTGTTAGCACTCACATATTACACCCTCCTGCGGTAATAACCCACATCTTACAGCTTTAACCTCACAGACAAAATAAACTGTGTTGGATTAAGCCAAAAAGTTTCTGAAAATGTTTTGAGACACTTCTAATCAGAGTCAATTAACAACCTCAAACTTTGACGGGTTTGACCTAATCTGAATTTAACACACATAAACTGTAGGAGGATGGCATTTTCATCTAAATGCACTGCAGTTTCAGGTTACAAAACATGAGCCAAAATATGAATAAATTATTTACTTACATATGATTGGTCTGTTTTAGCTTAGTGTAGCTTAGCTCTATCTTTAAGGTAAGGTATTTTTATTTATATAGCACATTTTCAGCAACAAGGCATTTCAAAGTGCTTTACATGAGTTAAAAGGAAACACAAACATACTAACTCTCTTCAACTTATCAACTTAAAGGCAAAATTATTGAACTATTCTAGACTACAAATTCCGAATAATTGTTTAATTACCCACTTTTCTCCTTCATTAAGAGTTTTTTTTGTGCAATAGTCTGAGTTTGCTTTTTTAAATGACTATTAAATATTGCACACATTAACCTAACCTTGTAGTCTCATGCATTTAAATGTAAATGTTAATTAACATGTAATGTTTGATTTTTAAACAATAAACTAGAAACACCAAAAATATTTGTAAAACAACAAAAGTAAAATTTCTGTCATCAAATCACATTCCGTGTGAACAAAATGCTAATCTATGTACGATGTGACATGAACAACTGATTGGCAGCCCTGGTGGGCGTGGCCAGGCAGGGTGACCAATCAGATTTATCTCAAAGAGAGCAAACACATCTACACGCCACACTTTTCAGCTTCTTATATAAAACTCTGACCTCAGTCAAACAGGGGATATTTTCCACAGTTAAATGAAATATTTCTGATTGTATTGTGTGTTTGGTCCGTCCTTGAACGTGGTGGCGTGCGCCTCACCTGTAAAACAGACGGGACACTTGAAGGTACCGCCCATGCCTTCGAAGCTGTGCTCTATCAGGTGGCACAGCAGCTTGGCAGGTGAGTCGAACATCTGGTTACACAGCTTGCACTCGTGATTGATGCCCTCCTCTGCAAATAGGAGACAGACACGCATGCGTAGGTTAGATCAGCCGAAACACGGAAACCGGAACATGTGACATCAATTCTGGATATTAACCCGACACTCAGGACAGATGTCTGACGTACAGGACAACAGGCGGCAGCAGAGACACAGATGGGCACAAAATATGCATCAAAACCAGAAACATGAATAAAAAGAATCACTTCTCTTTATACTGAAACAAAGTTAGGCTGTTTTAGTAAATGTTGTTTTCATATTATAGCCTAATTATTTTGCTAAAGAACGTTTCTATATATTCTCCTTTAAATATGAGTGTAAATACAAAACAAGAGGTACAAAAGGTTTATATTTACATTGTTTTTATTTGAAAACTAAAAATAAAAAACTAACTCTAACCCCACTGTCTAGTGGTTAACTTATAATACAAACTGACTTTTTTTTTAAAAAATGACAGTGTATTTTTAGACATGTTTATGGCCAAGTTTGAAAATAGTTTTGGATTACATTTTCTATTAATTTCACAAATCCTCTAAACTAGCCTGAACAGAAGAAGTGCAGCTCAACCCACTAACATAAACTAAAGTAAGCTAATATCAAATAAGCTAATTTAGGTTAAGCTAAACTTATTCAAAATAAGGTAGTTTTAATAGGGCAAACAAAATAAAAAGAGAAAAACCTAAGCTAAGCTAATGTCAGGTAAAGTAGTAAAGCTAAAGTAAATCTGCATATGCTAACTTAAACTAAACTCAATTTAGCTAAAATAAGGTAAGGTGTACTAAACTAAGCTAAGTAAGCTAAGCTAAAGCAGGCAATGTTAAATCTACAGGGGCTAAATGAAGCCACGATAATCAGCGATTGTAGGCTAAGCTAATAGCTTAGCTATAGTCTAAACAAGGTAAATCACCAAATGTAAATAGATTTAAATGAGCTAAATCTATTTAGCTAATATATCAAGCTAAATGGTCTAAAGGTAAGCCAACCAATGTAGAATTAAACTGATTTAATTTAGCTAAATTAAGTCAAGCAGAGTAATGTAAAGTAAGATACGGAAACCAGTGCAGTCTTATTTAGACAGCAAGGTAAGCTAAGTTAGGCTAGACGTGATAAATTAAGGCACTGTATGGTGCGATATAGTAAGGTAAGCTAAGTTAATGCTGTTTTTCAGACTGTGTAAGAAACAGAAACAGAAAATGTGTGCCAGGTTTTAGGTTAAGATACCATGCAGATTATTTCACTTATAACAAGACATTTTTGTCATGTTATAAGTGAAACAATCACCATTTCAATCACTGTGAAGGCATTACTGATGTAAAACAAGCTCCTATATCCTGCTGAAAAGTACCTGTAAGCTATATTTTCCTCATTTCAGCTGTACTAAAGTGTACTAGACCAAAAATACTTGGTAAGATTTTGTGTTTATGCAGTGAAATATCAAAAAACAATCAAGACCTGAAGAAACACCTTAAAAAACATGAGGATGTATTAATTTCTACACGCGAGCACAAAAAACCTCCACAATTAGAAACACTGATTACCGTATTAACACTTTTACATCAAACATTAAGCAAAAGGAGTAAAAATAATCTTTTATATGAAAAAGTGTGCAGAGCGCATCCACAGTCGTGTTTTTTATTTTTGTGTTTGTGTCTATTTTAAGACGGTGTGAGTGACATCACTGCCCCCACGGTGAAAGGCCAGATGAAGGTGGGCGTCGTAAACACAAACACACACAGGCTCCCCTCGGTGATCGAGTCCCCTGCCTGTTGTCCTTATCACCAGCGTACCAAACAGGTCCGATACCCCAGTCGCCCACACACACAGCACGAGGCAACACACACACACACACACACACACGCCACAGGACCGAACTGCCGGGAGACATCAGATGGTGTCGTCTGCAGGCCAATCTGTGACCCCCATGGAGCTCTGCACACACACACACACATATACACACACCCTCTTTTTTTAACACTTATCTCATGTCCTGTAAGTGCTAACACACACACACACACTCTGCAAAATCTCCGCTGCAGGGGATCGCAGGGTTAATAACGTCTTCAATCATGCATCCATGACACCCATACTGACTAATACACACACGCACACCGAGATTTTTATCTCTTCTTGCCTCAAAGGCCATCACAAGGGTGCCCTAATCCCATCTCAATAGCTGTGTGTGTGTGTGTGCATGTGTGTGTTGTGGTCCCGATCCCCAAACAAGCCCCGTCTCCACACACACACACACACACAGAAACCTCAAAGGCTGCGAGGTTGTGAGGGGCGCCAGCGTGTCCGAGACACACTGAGACAGATAGAGGTTCATTATCATTTACCAGGAGATTGAAGCAGCAGGAGAGAGAGTCACACGGAGCGACGCATGCAGAGAGAGAGAGGGGAGGCGGAGGGAGAGGCAGGAGGAAGGGTGTGCAGCTGCAGCTTTTCAATTGGTTCCGATTTTATTGTTTGAGAAACAAAAAGTTTAAGTTTGGTTCAGAAAACAGGCACACTGCAAAAAACACCTAATTTCAACAAGTATTTCTGGTTGAGTTTCAGGTGGAAATATCTTGGTACACTTGAACTGAGACAAAACTAACTTAGAAAAAACTTTTCAGGAGGAGAAAGGAGTCAAAAATTAATTAATATTGATGAATAATGTCTTGTTATAAGAGATAAGTGATAATCTGACAGCGGTAGAGCTTCATCAGAACTAACATTATGTTTTCCAAGCATATAGTGCAATTTTACAGCACAATCAAGTAACTATGTTAACGTCAGTTGTTATGAAAATATGACTTAAAAAAATTTGACTTCATAACTTAACGTCTTGAAATTGGGTCTGTGTCTCTTTAAAAACTCCTGCTGTTTCTGAAGCTCCGCCTCCAGGAAGTCATCACAACATGGCTCCTCCATTAACCCTGAGAAGTAGGTCCTATAATGAGGTCAGCAGGTGTTTGCTAATTGCTGCTGGCTAGTCTGAAGGAGCTGAGTGGATGAGGACAGAAGCTCTGAGCTGGAAGCTGCAGCTCAGAGGAGGAGCTGAGCCTCAAACGCGGGGCTACATCCACCCAGGTGTTGTTCACAGCTGAATGGTTGCCATGGAGATTAAAGGATTTTTTTTTTTAAAACATGCATGAAAGAACCAAGGTAACACTCCAGGTCTGTCTTTGATGAGGGAGTAACATTATAACAAGTCGATTTTACATAATATTGCCTCTTTAAGGGATTACTGACTTTAAAAAAGCTCCTATTTTTTGCTGAATATTTATTGTAAGTTAGTATACTTGAAATAAAACAAAGATATTTGTACTGGAGACTGGACCAAAAATTCTTGGTAGGATTTATTAAGTATTTCTGTCTAGTTTCAAGAGCAAATTTCCTTAGTTAAGAACAAATTTTCATTTCCAACAATGTCTTGTTCAGAAAACATTAACTTTATATCTTAGTACACTTGAAATCAGACAAAACTAACTTAAAAGTAGCTTTTCAGCAAGATTTAGGAAATTGTTTTAGGTTCCTTAATACTGATTTGAAGAAAAGTACAGGCTCCATTTGATCAGCCAGAGGAACTAATAATTTTTAATCAATATTAAGGAATTATTGACCTAAAAGAAGATCCTTTATTTAACTGAAAAGTTACTTTTGAGTTAGTTTTGTATTATTTCAAGTATAGTGTAGTAAGATATTTGCTAGGAACTAAAAGAATACTTGGTAATATTTGGAGTTTTTACAGTACAGAAGATGAAGAATTGCCTACGCGTCACTGATGTCAGTGTGTGTGTGTGTGTTTTGTCTACATGGTTGTGTGTAAGGCATCTTTAAGCCGCGCCCTCGGTGGGGGTAAAGCTGCCTCCCACTCTCCCACGCTGCCAGGATCAGAGGGAGCGGTCAAACATCAGCCACCTTTACACGAACACAACGACCTACTTCTACGCTCAGCTTTCCTGAGATCTTACACAGAAACATCTGAGCCGCTCGGCAGCAAGATTTAAGCCGCAGTTACAAAAACAATCTGAAACTTTGGAAATAAAAATGTTAAAGAACAAGAGGAGGCTGTTATATTTTCCTTACTGATGCTTTATCTTACACGGACTCTCAATGTGCTGAAGACTAACGAGGAAATTATGTGATTGGATTTAATTAATTAAAAGTAAATTGATCAATATCTGGTCAGTAATCATCTATCCTTGCAGGATGGGAAGATGCTGCACTGTTCGTGACACTGTCATAAACATGGAACATTTATATGACATTAAGTGTCATTTGGTAAATAATGACACTTTTGAGGAAAGTTGTGTTAAAACATGTATAAAAACTCCATCAAATCTGTCAAATTTACATTAAAAGTGTCATTATTTACCAAATGACACTTCATGTTTATGATGTCATGTTCGTCTTCTAATAAAGTGTTACCAAAAACATTAATTTCACTAAGCTGTACTTTTTACTTTTTCTGAGGTAATTTTATTATGAATTATTGAGTAAAATTTGTTTTTAATATTTTTATTGTACTTTTTGAGTAGCTTAAAGGTTTTTTTTATTAACCTTTTTAGGCCAACGTTGTAACTATTCAGGTTTGAACCAACAGAAATACAATCCCAGCTCTTTGGTAAAGCACGGAATCGTCGCTTCCACTGAAATGAGACCGTCTTCTTTTTCTGATATAAAGTCAAATAAATTCAGTTTTATACGACTGTTATGTTTTCAGCAGTGCTTCGTTTCATTTCTGTGTAAATTTCCATGCACAGGAACATGTTTCATTACGACATCAAGCCGAAATAGAAACTTTAGGAGCTCATTTATGGTCAATCAATTAGTGTGAGAGCAAAAATGGCTGCAAATGAAAAAAAAGAGAAAAGAATCCAAACCAGAATGAACGTGAAAACCTCAGAGGGAACAGAGGAGAAAACAGTGAGGTGCAGAGAGATAATTGGGCTGTCCGGAACAAGGGCATGGAGAGAGGCCTCCAACGCCTCTGTGTGTGTGTGTGTGTGTCCCATGAAAGACTTCT